TGCACCTCCTTCAAGGAGCCAAAGAATTCCTTGTGTTGGCGGCGTTCGGCGTAGCACTTCATCTACTTTATCTTTTCGGTCCACCATGCGTTTTTTGTGCGACGGGACTCTCGAATCACTCGCCGTCGAAGTTTGCAAAACTGACTCTCCTTCCCCAAGTCACTGGGGTCTGTCACATGTGCAGCAAACGCTTCATTCTTCTCTGTCACCAATGCGCCAATCGTCGCATTGTTCTTATCGAACCAATCGGGCAGCTTACAGTTTGCGCACCCGATGGTCCCCTCGGCAGCAGCTGTCACCTGATCGCGAAAGTAGCGCCACAGGTCACCCACTGCGGCTATGCAATCCACATCATGCCCTTATTTTCCAGTTCGATCTCGAATATCGTAAACCAAACCTCGACTGTGTTTCATAAAACTTGAAACAGCCAAAGTAAGCATGTTTACGCCATGAAATGACTCAGATGCCACTTTCGAAATGTGAATCGAAAAGATAAAGGATGCACAAAAAGACGATGAAACTACTAAAATTATGCAAGGAACAGGTGAATACAACTATATCATTGAGAAAAAGGAACGAACTCACCAAAAAATACAAACGACGAAAATAGTTTAACTTCGCGCTTGCTAGTCGGGGGCACCAATTTGTAAAACTAGCAAATAGTAGTCGGAGACGGTGCACGAAATTAAGCGAGGGTATCAGAAGGCAATTGGAGTCGGACACAGCGGACTGTATTGGATGGGCTATAAGAAGAGGCGGACTGATGAAGCGAGACAAGAGCAACACGTTGGCGTGGGAACTTACAAGACGGTCAAGTGTCGAGCCGCATGTAGGTCAAGATGGACGTAATGTAAGGGATATTAAAACAAGAAGGAATGGTGTACAATTGGTCATCAGTGAAATTGTACATGAAAAATAATAGTTGTTTGTTGGGGCGCCACAGGATTTTCCGTTTTCATTGGATACAGATCACGAAGATTTAGTCCAGCTTTTTGACCTGGTTGCTTCCTCACTTTCTACCCATTTGTAAACTTTGCATTTTAATGCTAACCCTCTGGTAAATTTACATTTGTTAAGATAACATGCTGAAAAAGCACCCTATTGTGTACATAAGGCTTATACTGACTTTAATTTACTTGACTAATAAAATACTACTTAAGTTCATTTCGCTAACGGAATGGACATGAAAATTCGAATTAAACTGTACGCTACCTGACATAAAATGTGCTGCTATGAAGAGTCACACATTCTTCTCATGCAAACCACTAATCGCCCAGTTGGTCCAACCACCGTGTTCCTGCAATAGTGCTCTGCTCCCCTAAGTTGCCCGTTTCCACTTGTCCGGCATCAGTTATACAGTTTCGAGAGCCACTTCTGTGGAAAATTACGAAAAAATGCTTATCGTTTGTCATAACTAACGGCTTGATTTCGCGTGGGAGTGTGTTCTAACCTGCACTGGTTACCATCGAAAAATGGGCGTAACTCACTCCGCTGGATTGTAATGTTACTTCCTGTGAAGGCTTTGACTTGTCTTCTGAGTACAGCCCATCTGTAGACACCGTCGTTTATCACGGAACCATTGCATTGCTGAAGGAAGATCGAAGCCAATTGTGCACGATGAAAATCATGGGAAGGAATGTAGGCGACAACTACTCAACTGACCGGCTAATGCTGTCTATTGAGGCAATAAACTGAATACTTTTCATAATAAAGTTTGGAGAGATGAACTAGACACGCGCAAGTAGCAAGATTAAGGTAAAAAAGTTGTGTAAGAACATCGAACCCGTCGTCTTGGAGGTTCGTTACCAAATTTGATGGTAATGATATATGATTATATGCAATTTACCAGTTAACCGACAATAAGGTTGGTCTATACAAGACTAATCACTCAATAAACGAAATCAATTTACACGAAGTGTGAAATGTCTGAGGAGAATTTTCCAGGACCTCAAATTTGTGTCGATCCATCAGAAATCATCGGTATCAAACCTAAGGTAGCGCAGTAATTTTGGAAGAATTTTCGGCTCTCTGTGAAAGCAGGGAATGTTTTTTACTGACTCAGAAATTAACACACACACACTATACATGCCATAACTGACCTGGCTATTTTCTTTCTGGAACTCTCACAGGGCATTTATTGATGTCCTCACATTTTGAGTGTTACACCATCAAACAGATGTGCTATTTCTCGCTTTTGGATTATTCTATCCTTAGACATGGCCTGAGTATACTAATATAATATCCCACACAAATTGTATTGCTAGGCAAATGGATCACAGAACGAAGCAAACTATCACGTGAGAGAACATCTACTTGCTGGCATGGTCTGCCCGATGTCTACTGGTGTCTACTCTCCAAGCCCACAAAGTATACACGCAGCCTCGGGACCGTTCGATCAGGCCACACCTGCTCAATGTAGAAACAATCGGAGAATTGTACTAAATGATCATCAGCTTTCGTTCCCTCAAACTCTGCCGAACGCACACAATTGTGGCATAATACACAAAGGACAGCCGAATTACAGTAAGCTGAACCAAAAGAATGTTAGTATCTTGACCATCTTTGTAGGGTTTAAATACACTATTCAACTTGCTCCCCATATTGCCATTCCGAATCTGAGAAGCTAAACCAGAACGAATTCCTTATCAAAATGATCGCTTTTCCCACCAAAATAAGAGAAATGATCCTACAAACCTCTTGGATCTATCACATCCAATACCTCAGTTGACACCAGCAACTGTGTTGCTATACAATTAAAGCTGTCATCTTCCACATACAATACCCTGTTGGCTCACACACAGTTATTGTCCAGACTGGCTTCTTAAAACTTCCTAGGGAAGGGTTGGACTGAACAGGAGGTGAATGTAACCGTTTTCATGCGGAAACCTGATCCTGCCCTGTTCACAGTTTACGAGTCATGGGCACCCGTCATGCAGTAAAATAACGGTCAGAGTATATTGCTCAAGAATACTTGTAAGGATTGATTGGTTTTAATGAACATGAAGATCTGAAGTATTGTGAAATCTGTTCTACATTAACGAAGCTCCTCAGTTTGTCTTACATGTAGTTTTGCATACGGTCCAATTCTTCCCTAGATCTCTGCGATGGCTATTATGATTGTTCTACCAGGACAGGGTTGATTTTTGCTGCTAGTTCATCATTTGCTGACGTCCGGAGTGGCTGCATCGGACTACAACTAAGTACCTGTGGCATCTGCAGCTCATTAGTAGTTTGTACTCGACAGTTTTTCCACAACCATCTACTATAACATCTGTAGCATCATCTGCTGGCTTCCTGTGCTTGATCGGAATACCAACTGATTCAATGCCAACGTGCATTTTCACATGCGCTAAAAATGAGTGCTTCGTACTTCATTTCTTTCCAAGGCGATACATCGCTGCATTTGTACACACTTGAATTTGGTATTTATCTAAAATGTGATACACCGTGAACATAGAAACGAAAAGTCAACTTCAACTACTACGTTTGTTCATTTTAAGCTGATAATTCGGATGCAAGTTGCAAAATTTGCCCAAACAAACGTTTTCTTATCCGCTGACCTAAATTACAATAAAATGCTGCGTTTAAACCATGCGGTGTACGACAGCTAACTTGGCCACGTCATCTCACCATTAGAATTCAGGTGCTTAGCTAGGAAATTTCCTTCAAGTGCTTTGTTTCAATTTGCCTGTATCCGTTACTATATTCCTAATGTTCACTACTTGACCAATCAAGTTAACTCAGGAGAATAGTTTATGTACCCAGGACTGGGGAATACAGCTGTGGGAGGATACCTTTTGTAAAATCAAAAGTGTGTGTTAATAATTTCATAGAGAAAATCGTATAACACCATCAAATTTGTAAGCACCGCCGTTAAGTTGCCATACGTGTACTCTGTAGGTTGAACTTTTCCCAGTCTTCTGCCTGAGCTCCATCTTTCTGCCTTCCTTAGCTACTGTACATAGTCAACCATTCACAGTCAGTGTGGTCAGACACATTCTCTATTCCCGTACCGGTATCCAAGTATACCAGTTACATCTTTGAACAACACAGTCAAACGCTTAGCTTTTTATTTCTCTCGAGTTGCTTGACATACACGTTTAGGGTAACTTAGATATTACGCACCAGAAATTCGTCTACTATTAGTAACAGGTCGTTCGGTTAGTTAATACCAGAAATGTAAGTAATTATGAAAATGCCACCGTTTTTGAATAACGATGCAGTTTAGGTAAACCAACCTATAGAATAGCAAACATTTGAGCTCAGAACTGGCATACCTATGCAGCTACGTGGAAGCACGTTCCCTTGAAGATGGGAACCTCAAACAGGCCAAAACTTTCCGTCTTTGTTAGTTGTTAAATATGAAAACAAGTTTAACGGGAGGTACACTATCTCAGGACTAGACATTAGACGTAGTAAGTTGGCAGCAGAAGAAAAATGTGTAAGAAGTGTAGTATACTCAACAAATAACGCGGAGCGGGTTACAACTAGTCTGCGCAGCTGGGTGTGCCTACGCGCGCATGCAAAATCAATACTTTTTGAAGCAGCGTCGGCCATCGAACATTAAGTAACACGTGACATCCCTCATCGTCGTGGCTGAAGTCAAATTCTATGTGGGAAACGTCCTACCGGTTGGCGAATGTGGCTGGACTGCTGAAGTATGGTCCCCATTGTTGTTTCGGTTTTCACGCCCTCCGCTGCGGGCTCTGTCAGATTCCGCGATGCAGATCCCGCTTCGCCCGGTGTGTCTGTGCCCCGAGGGAGTACGTGGTCCGAATGTCGGTGGAAGATCCGGCCGTCCGGAAGTTGCAGCTCGTTTGACTTCTGAAGAACCGAGCAAACTTGCTGGTTACCAGCATTATTCAGGCAGGTAGCTGAGGGTATACTGCTTGATTTTCTCTGAATGTGCTTTCATTTTTTAGCTCCTCTGATGACAGACTTCCAAACATTAGTTCCGCAGGGGAGTTATCGGTGGTCTCTGTGGGTGTGGAACGTTAGGCAGATAGAAAATGATCCAATTTCTTTGGTAAAGTTCTCACTCGGTGCTTTAGTCGGCCTTGTTTCACCGTTTGCACAGCCCTTTCTTCTAAGCCGTACGATGCCCGATGATACGGGGCCGTTTTGATATGCCGCCTCGCATTGTTGCCAACAAACTTACTAACTTCAGCACCGGCAAAAGGTGAACAATTATCTGCCCTAATGGTTTCCGGGATGCTAAACGTAGCAAAGGAAGAGTCTGTATTAGTAATGGTGTTTTGAGATATCGTTTGGGTGACTGAATGCACATCAATCCATTTTGCATGTGCGTCGGTGAGTAGATGAAACATCGTTCCGTTTATCGGTCCAAAGTCGTCGGCGTACATCCGTTGCCACAGCTTGTCGGGCCACCGCCAGGAGTGGACTGGACCGGGCGTTTTACTACGTTGATGCGCTTGACAAATATCACAATTCCTCTGTAAATTCTCTATGTCTGAATCAATCTTGGGCCACCAGCACTATCCCCTTGCTAATGCTTGCATCCTCGCCACTCCTGGATGTGCATCACGGAGCACATTCAGAATCTGTGACCGCGTCTTACTGGGAGGAAGCAGTCGAGAGCCACAGATAACACACCTGTCGAATAGACGCAGCTCGTTCCTGCGCATTACGAACCGTTGCAAATACGTTGGCCAACTTACCGTCAAGAAGCGTTTTACCATTGACAGCACTGGGTCCCGATGAGTCCATTGGCGGATTGTTGCGCTTCATATTGGTGTTGTATATAGACGTTTCATTAAGCTGGCCAGTTTAAATGGAGTGCGTATAGCTGTACAGCGTCAGTTACTTGTAAATGGCTTAATACATCAGCTGTGCAGTTGTTGACGTCTTTGCTATAAACCATCTTGTAATTGTATGCACCCAAGATTACAGCCCATCACTGCATTTTTGATGACATCATTTGTTGGATTCCTTGGTTTCACCCACTAAACCTAATAAGGGTTTATGGTCAGAGTGCAGCTCGAAAAAATTGCACCAGAGGTACTGGTAGGACCATTTTACCCCAAAGATAATACCTAGTGCTGCTCTGTCCAATTGTGCATAATTTTGCCCCTGTGTTTGTAACGCACGAGACGGGAATGCTATGGGACCTATGGATCCATCATTTTCACGGTGACATAGAACAGCTCCGACCTTCCAAAAGAATGCGTCACACTGAAGAATGAGTTGTTTATTGGGATCATAATGAACTAATTTAGGTGGAGAAGCAAGGGGCTTGTTTACCTTTAATAAAGGTGTCACTGTGACGAGAATTCCAGACCATGGCACACTTTTAAGCAGCAATTCATTTAATGGTGCTAATACCGTAGATGCGTTTGCCAAAAAACGGTGCTAGTGAGATAACATTTCCATGAACGAACGAAGTTCACCGCTGTTCCTCTGCTCCGGACTTTCTACAGTAAACTTCACCTTGTCATTTAAAACATGCAACCCAGGTTTAGGTAGCTGGTAACCAAAGTAGCAAACGGAAGAGGAAAAGAATTCATAGTTAGATTTCTTTAATTTAAATCCGCTTCATTTCACTCGCTCGAGCACAACAGTGAGTGTATGAAGATGTACTGTATCAC